CATCTTGAAATTTTTGATATTGACTTCAAATGCCACTTGAAGTCTTTGCACCATTAGAAAGGAGTGTGGCATAAATGACATAAGGTAAATCTTCTTTTACAATATATAAGATAGCTCTTACACCTAAAAATACATATTTAATTATACTAGACTTGTGATTTTTTACTTGATGAATGCAGATATTTATCACAAAGAACAACTACAATTCAACATAGGTGATAAGCTATGATTACTCCATTGTAATATTAAAATTACTTGACTTTGTCACAAGTTTGACTATTATAGGCTTAAATCTTTTTTTACTTATAAACAAGTCAATTTTATTGCTTATCAATTATATTTGTCAGAGTCTATAAAGATCCATTCCATATTCCACATATCTCTTCTTAAACCATATGAGACAATGAATATCTTGGGAAGAAGACAAATGCTACTTCTTCTTATAGAAGTGAATAATAATTAAGAATTCAAAGTAGAAGAAGCCTTAAATTCAAGGCAATACCAAAATATGTTGGAATATCTTATTCATTGGCATAGATTTGATATTAATGAATGCACATAGAAGTTAGCAAAGAATCTTGTAAATACAGTAAAGAGAGTTGAGACTTTTTATCCAAGGCATGTATTAAAATTAAGATGAAGAATTGCAAGATCTATAAAAGATGATGATTGCTTCTTATAGAACTTTTCTTTAGAAGGAAGATAATGTCTCAGACATACATATTTATTATAATATTTATGTATGTTATTAAATAGAAATAAAGATAGATTTATTTTATGATATTTTTTAGAAAAGCTTCCTAGAAGCTTTATAGATGCTACTTTTGACTTCATATGTATTTTTAATTGATTAGTAGGTTAGAAACTTGGTCAAAAAAATTAATTATGAATTAATAGCTTACAAAACAAGCTAACTATGTGGTGCACATGTATAAAACTTGCCTTATAAGTTAAGATATGTGTCTTGCAAAGTCAACACATTTTGGAGGTTCTATAGGATATCACTATGTAGCTCCTAATTAAGAGTATATATGGAGACAAGAATGAAGCCTTCTTCACTCTTGTCAATGCCTTTCTAGTCGTTAGTCTTATTTTAAGACTTTCTAATCTTCTTGTCTTTGGGAATAGTCATTGTAATTTAATACTATATCATTTTTGAATGATTTTTAAGTCTTTTTGAGTGATACAAGAGTGTATTGATACTTTAGTACTTTGAAGTTCATGTCCTTGACATTTATTCATTTTCAATAATATTTTTAATTAATTTATATTCTATGATTTATATTTTATTTTATCTTTTTTTTATAACTTCTAATAATCAATTTTTAGATCTTCATTTATTTGTTATATTAAAATCTAAAAATATACATGTTTATTAATTACAAGTTAATGTAATCAGATTTACACCAAATCATAAAAACCCTCAATTTTTTATACAATTGCCAACATGTATATGATGGTATTATTTTAATTTTTAATTTTAAGTAGATTTTTAACAATATTTATAAGTTCATTTGTTGTTAATCCTTCAAAAATTCCTTGGAAAAAACACAGAAAATTGAAGATGGGATTTTTAATTTTAATTTTGGTTTTTTTTAAGAATTTGATAAAACAAATTGTTATCCAACTTTTATTGCCTAATGTAGGTATGTATATATATATATATATATATTCTATTTTTATATTTTTAAGTTAATAAATTTTAAAAAATAGATTTTCCATCTCACATAAAACATTCTGGATTTCTTTCATCTATTCTATTAATCAAATTGATGTTCTTAGTGCTTTAAAATAAAAATAAAAATATTGTTATAATATTGTCAAGAATAACTTCCAAAAAAAGCATTTCAAATTTTACACATATAATCACTGAAATAAATTATTCAAAAAATAAAATGACATGATTATTTTAGCGTGAACGCCCCCTAATTATGTATCGTAATATATTAAAATCTAAAACAGTTAGGCAGAGCGTGTCGAGTGCTAGATGCAAGAAGATGAATGTGAACTATTTTCATCCACCCGTGCTTTCGTGCATCCAGTTACAGACACTCCTAAAGAACCTCGGCATGCCCGGCGGTAGAATCCCAGTATTATACAAATTTCGAAGGGAAATGAGAGTTGCGATCGAATTGCACAGGTTAATCAGTCGTGTTGAAAATCTGCAGACCTCTCATTTTCGGTATTAGGGTTTCGATGCTTCTTCCTCTGCTGCTGCTGTCTCAATTTCTCAGCTGCGTTTCTCATTTCAATGATGCCATTGATTTGATCCGTTTAGTTTGTAAATCCCTGCGATGCAGGAGTTCTGTGATGCAAGCCAGGCTCGGTGAAATGCAGCACAGAGGTGATTGAGAGTCGCGTTGATTTTAGATAGAAGAATTCGATAATCACCGGGTTCTTTGAATCTTAATCTTGTGAACGGTGCTGGTGTCTGAGGTTTGCAATTTAAATTTAAACTTAGGTTTTCTGCTATCGCACCCTGTGAAGGCTGTGCGTATTCTCCACAATCCGCGCAGTTTTCTTTGCTAGCTACTTCCCGCTGAGCTTTGCAATGGCGAAGGGGCCTCTGATCAAGGCAGAGGAAGAGGAATCCCATGTGCTGCAAGGAGCTGAGGCGCAAGACATTGTGAAGGATTATTTCCCTCTTCTATTCTTTTTGTCTTTTTTATTGAGGCGCACGGCGAAATATATTTTCGTAAATGGGATGAGCATCTCAAGCTCTTCTCAAGCTATAGCCCCTGACTTGCACGTAATCTCAGCACCTGAAAGCGCTTCGGTAATAGCCCAGTCTGCTGGAACCTCTTCGCTAATTTTAGCCACTACTTTTGCTATGGTTACGGGTCACAAACTGCGATTGCGTCAACAATCGGCGTCCACTTCCATCCTAATTCATGCTTCACAAATTCTTCAACGGTTCTTTTTCTTTACAATATATTTAAATAAAAAGAAAAAATAAAACTCTCACACCTGTCATTTTCCGCTTTAATTATTATATTTTACTCCTATAAATACTTATAAAAATATCTTGACACAGATTCAGAATCTTAAACACACCGCTCCCAAATAAATGGAATACAAGCTTACCAAGCTGTGAAAATCTAGGCTCCTGAAGATGGGGTGATGATGCTCCATATCTAGGCAAATATTCCTTGAACTAGAAAGGCAGTCAAAGAGTGCGGTAGAATCCAGGCAGAATGGCCGATCGTTTAAGTCCACGACCGATTAGCGATAGGGCTTGTTCCATCGTCAATCCAAGAATTCTCTTCCTGCAAACTTTTTCTCAATAATCCAAATCGAGAATCCTGTTCCTCGGTTGAATATTTCTTCGGACCAACTCTCATCCGTTCTCTCCGTCGTAATCTCATCCTCTGTTCATCCATGCTCCAGCTTCGGCTTCGGTAGTTAGGGTTTCGTGAGAGGGGTGGACGGACGAACGGACTAGCGGACGAACGGACTAGCGAACGAACGAAGTATGTGCACAAATTCAATGAAATTCGCGATTGAATTATCAAAGGAAGTTTGCATTGGTTGATAGATTCTATTACCGTGGGTCTTCTTCTATTTTTTCTTTTTTTATTTTTATTTTTTTCAAATAACATACTGGTGGTTCTTCAATTGCAAGGAGTATAAGTTCCTAACTTTTTATTGGAGATAATCCATAAATTAGTACACTTTAAAAAAATTATTGACATTTTCATCTTTCTTGAAGTAATTTTATGAAAAAAAAAAAAAAAAAAAAAAAGAAAGAATAAAAGCAATCCAAATTACTCAAAAAATTACAATAATCCAAAATACTCAAAAAAAGGCAATATTTTTAATTTCAGTAAAATCAACAGTTACTTCATAAAAATAACTCATCAAACTATAATACTTCTTTAGAATAATGATAATAATTATAATTTTAAAAATAAAAAAATAAATGAAAATAAATGAAAAAAATATATACATACCTCAAAATATTAAAGTCGCAGCAGTAAAAAAAATTAAACTCAAGAAAGAAAAATAAACATTAGACTAAAAAAAAACCAGTTTTGCTTCTATTTATATTGTTTACAAGAGACCAGCTTGTTCTTTAAGCCTCTAAAAGTTAGCAATACAAAATATTAAAATAGAACGTCATATATATATATATATATATATATATACACACACACACATACATGCATCTTATGCATGCTATAAAACTTATGATTCTATTTTTACAACTGATTTTTTAACAAATTATTTTAATTTATTATTAATTAAACGATTTTTAGTCCAATTATTAATTATTGCTTTTCCTTCTTTTTAAAAAGAAAAGTACCAAACCATGGATAAAATGTTTCCCCTAAAGCATCACAATCCACGATGCAATGTTGCCTCTCGTTCTGTGCGGAATTCCACTTCAATCAAGGCTCTGCAACATGAGTTTGGCATCATTTGTAACAACGTAATGGGTCATCTTTCCAGCTTAGTCTATGAGTAGATTTTCAATGAGCATATGTGGTCAGACACCACAACATACGATCATCCTTTTTAACATAAAGGAATGCTGAAAACATGACCTGCAAAAGGTTAGAAAAGACTAATGTCAGACACATGAGTTGGCTCGCCTGGTCCTTGTGCATGAGTGGCAATCTCCTCGTGTGTGCTTCGATGAGCGGTGCCAGAGCTGTCAAGGTTCTCATCTAAGTTATCTCCTCTGAGCATATTCCGAACAGAGAGAAACGTCGGAGTACATTTTTCTCAGTTACAGGGATTGGGGTCCAACAATCTCCGTCACGGGCGGAGAATGTTGACCGACGCAGGTTCCACATGCAGATTCAAGACAGGTGTATCTGTGTTAGGTCTTTCACACAGGTTTCCAGGTGATGTATAATGTGTGCAATATGTTGTTTGGACACCAGAGCAGGGAACAGAGATTTCGGTGTGATAATGGCTCAGATTTCGAAATGTAGAACAGATTACTGAGTCTGCAAGTGTTGAGTGTGTAGGTGATAGGGAAGAGAAGTAGACGAAGGTTGGGATTCAATGAGTTTTATTCTGGTGAACAAAGTTGTCGCTGCAGAGATTGCAGCGTGGGACAGTGATAGGTTTTTGAACAAGAACCAGATTACCATATTGTATGGTAGCAGCTGTGAATACATTTCTCAGGTTCATGATGATGATGCTAAAAGTGCTAAGGTTGTTGATGACCAGAATGCATCACGACTTGAATGAGACGGTGCTCAGGGGATAATCGGAAGGATTGATCCATCCCTTCAAGGGATACAAGGTGGCCTCTCATTCTATGAAGAAGTTCACTCCTATCAAGGCTTTTGGACATAGGTTTCGTCTACATTGGTGATCACGCAATGGCTCATCTTTCCAGCTTCATCTTTGAGTTGGAAGACTTCCATGCCAAACCAACGAGCCCAACATGTGGATAAACTCCGAAATAGACGATCATCTTTTCCAACATAAGCAACAAGTCGAGGGAACTTGTTGCAAAGAGAAACTATGAACAAATGACCTCTCGAAACTCAAAATTATGCGACACTAGATCCACTCTGAATGTACACCGGTTAACATGTAAGTTGGTGGCGCGAGTTCCTGGGATGTGTGAATAGGTGACAGCATGTAACTCATGATACAGAGGTGCTGGACTCCTCTTTGAAAATCGTGGAGAAATCTCTTCAGCCCAGACGTGAATCTATGTACAGAATTGGTGACGATTCAAGGCCAATCCCACCACGGAAGCACGCAAGTTTGCTCCTCCGGGTGGAAGAGAAGATAATTACAAGACTGGTCGTCGTGTAAGCAGTGACCACTTTCGTCCTCCAGCTTCATGGGTACGTCGTGATGCAATTCGTGTAACAAATGATCAAGATCGCCAAAGCTCTTTGGGGGTGGGAATTCAGGGCTGTGAATCAGTTGCTCTTGATCCGGCATAGACGTTGGACTGCTACAATCGCTGATTCGAGGACTATCCGCATTCACAACGTCGCCAGAGTTCCCGTCATTGAGACCATTGGTTTCGGAGTCCTGGTCCTTCGCACACACCAGAGAAATGTCCACGGTTGAGGATATCCTGGAAGTTCGCTGCCTTGCAACAGCCCCCGAGATAACAACTTCTCTTTCTGGGGTTTGAGGAGCACGATCGTTAACGGATTTGTTGCGATCGGTTTGCGGAGAGGGTGGCGTCTCACCGGTTAAACGCACAACCTCCGCTCTCAAACAGTTTCTCTCTTCCACGACATGCTCATAGTCGGCCATTAGCGTCTTGTAATCCGCGGCCAAAGTCTCGTAGTCTCGCTCCAGCTGTTTCGTCTTCCACCTCGCCCGCCGATTTTGGAACCACACTGCAACTTGGCGAGGCCGCAACCCTAGCTCTTTCGCCAGCTGCATTTTCTTCTCGGGCTCGAGCTTGTTCACAACCTCGAAACTCGTCTCGAGCGACCTCACTTGGTCCAACGTCAACCTCCTCTTCTTTTCATTGTGTGATCCAGTCGGAGAATCATCGCCTCCTTCGTCGTCCTCCGCTGAGCCATCCTCGCCCGTCGGAGTGTCACAAGCATCGTGAAAGGGACGCTTGTGCCCACTTCCTTGCACTATTGTATCTTCCAAAGATACTCCCACATGTAGCGGCGCTGCAAAAAACAAAAGTACAAAGAAAATTCACATCAGACCAACATATTCTGGCATCACTCGTAGGCTTCCAAGCATAGAGTTTCCCGACCCCCTCTGAAAAAGGGAAAGTTCTGAAACTAGAACAGAGAATGGTCGACCCGCACCTTGTAGGCCCACCTGCAGGAAGCAGGGAGCGAGCTCTGCTGTTAATGAATCCGAGCTACTGTCGTTGCATAAGAGCTGCAGCATTCCGCTTTGGCCGGTGTACCCATTCAATATTGCAACTGCAATCGTTGGTCACTAGCTTCACCCGCGAGAAAACACTTTCATTCCCGCTCCCAGATTCTTACCCTGCATTATCCGAGCAGCATGTCAATTAACACTGGTGACATTCTCTTGACCTAATCCAGGCAACGTAAAAGGTCACGGGTGAAGTTACATGAAAATTGAATAATAGTGTCCAATTCAATCAGTTCAAAAACCATGTGCAACAGCAGTGTTCGGAAAACAGAGGGGACACGGACACGGAAATGTCGCATGCTAAATGAATTCAGAGCCAGTTCTCTACACGCCTAACACTCGTAAGCTGGCTTTGATCCGAATGGTAAACGAATGCGAGGGCTGGATTAATAATGATACAAACTACACAGATATTTGATGAAATGTGATTGCACGCACGGTTACTGAACGCCAGAAAACGGTTCTCAAAAAAAATGAACAGATTCAGAGAAAAGCAAAATCCGTCCATGGTAAGGCAAGCTACTGAACGCTACAAACGGACGCCGAGCGAGTGCGCAAACACTGCAGCATTTTCGTGTGTTTCGAATGTGCTCGACGAAAACCAAAATGTGTTATCAGGCAGCTCATCGCAGGCTGCACCATCTACAACAAGATGATCAACTGCACTACGCGCTCAGCACAACAGGGAACAACACAGAGATCAACCGCTGTGCTCCGCAACTCGGTATCTGGACACAATGGTAATCAAGCAGGCCATCGTTGGCAGGTTGAACGAAACGATTCCCTAGACTTCAAAAACTAAAATGCAAATTGCAATCCTCGACAGCACACGGGAGCACTTTGCGGCCAGAACCTGGGGTAGCGCCTGAAATGTCGATCGCATGAACTCAGAAATCCTGGTCGCCGTGGTTTATACTCGATTCTCGTGAATCGGGCGCACACACACTCACAACAATCACACGGATCCACACAGATCGTGTCGTCTCCAAACAGAGCGAAATAAGATAGGCAGAGAAGCTAGAAAACGGCGGACCACTCTTGGTTGTTGGGGTCCAGAAACATTCAGCTCAGATGGGCTCGCAATCACTCATTAGTCGTAGGAGCGACGCGGGCTCTTCATAACTAGGACTGTGGCCTTTATAGGCCCTAAAAAAGGTCAGACGCTGCTGTCCTTCCATGCAAGAGAGCTACTGCCAGACCACCACCGGTCGCGTGGAGTTGTCTGGTAGGTCCGACCTTTTCCTCTTCCTAGGCCCGATTCCGTTCAGCCGTGTCCGGCAGTGTCCGTTGTGCCGCCGCTCCTCCCTCCTCCTCCTGCGACGACGACGAGGCCGACGACGACGTCGTCGAAGAAGGTGTCGCGGCCTTGGTGCAACGCCCACTCGTGGGCACTGTGCTCGACTGCCCGACTGCCCGATCTGCCCTTTTCTCCCTGCCTGGGTGCCCGGGGGCTTGGGCAATGTGGCGGTGGAAAAGGGGTCCGAGGGCCATCTGAAGGCTCACAGTTGCTGTGCTGCTGTGGACAGTTTCTCAACACCCTTTCCTTCCTTCTTCCTCTTCTCCTTCCCTCGTTTTTCTTTTTCTTTTTCTTCTTCTATTATTGATAGGAGACCACTTCCACGCCCATTTGGACTTGGAAATATCCCTCCACAAAAACATCTATTTTTTTGTGTGTTCGTTTGTGTCTATGTTGTGTTCTTCAAGTTAACCTTAATGTATTGTATGTGTATGTGTGAGTATATGTACGTATCTATATATATATATATATATATATATATATATGAAAGAAAGAAAGAGTGAAATCCGTGTAACAATTTGTAAAGTAATCTAGTAATGAATCCTACTTTAAACTTATGTATACAATCATTTTCAACTTTATACATATAATTTATCATAATGAAAAACATGAATAATAAGGAATTACGTGTATGCATATTCCAAAAAGACAAAGAATACAAGATTTTTCATTATTTGACATTATTCGGTTTGATGATTATTACAACTTAAATTTTGTAACAAGCTTTTGCACGAGTGTTGAATATGTAATAAAGTTGAATAATATAAATATAAAAGACATAAATAATGTTCGTTGATATAATTAATCACAGACAGCAAGTAATGAATTCGACTTTAATAAAAATATTTCTTATTTCTTTTTTAAATCGGGAAATACGTTTTGCTGATAGACAATTTAATTTGTTACATAAACTCCCTTTAAGTCGTAGTGATGTAGTTTTTAATGTGAAAAAATTGAGATGCAAGTTATCATTTCTATTTTCAAAGAACGACGTTTAGTCTGAGTTCTGTTTGTAAAATTCATCCTTCAGTTGATTTTGTAGCTTCAACAGCTAGATTCAAACTTGGAATATATTTTATTTTCTAAAGCTCATCAGACAATCATAAAATTTTACTATATATTTGCATTGAAATAATGCGAAAAAACAGTTAAGTTTTAAAAATATGGAGAACTGAAGGTTCAAGTCATACCAAAGAATGCAAAATATCATTTATAAGGATAAATCATAAGTATCTAATTATCAATAAATAAATATTTATAATTACAGTTGAAGAGAAAATTAGAACGCCTAAGCAATGACAATATGAAAAATTGAACAAGAAACATAACCATTTTGCAATAGTACAGGAAGGAGCATTAAATGAAGTTGATTTGACTTTATATATATATATATATATATATATATGATACAAAATATATATATATATATATATATATATATAGTGCTATTATGATATAAAATCTAAATCTTCTTGTACTATTACAAATCGAATATTTTGAAGAGTTAGTATTTTTAAGAAGTTAAAAAGAATATAAATTCGGTTTTAATATAATAAATCAAAATTAATCATTCTTATGATCTTTATAACTTACCATAATTGATTTATACTTCTTAGAAAATACTTAATTTGGTTTATAAGTTAGAAATATATAAATAACTTACATATATAAATTTTGATATATCTAATTTTTTTATACACATACATCTGATGTTACAATCACATACAAAATTCAGTGTGAATGTCACATTTTTTAAATAGCAAATTGTAAACATAGTCACTTTGCAAAAAAATTAAAAATGTGAAGATAACTTAATATGGTTGTTATTTCTTTTAATAGATTATTTTAACTAATTAGTTCAATGCTTGAAATAATAAATGTGATTGTTTGTAATGTGTGTGTTCTACAAATATTAAATTACTTTACTTTTTAATCTAGGAGAGTTATATATATTTTTAGACCTCAAATATTTTACTCCTTAAAAACTATTAAAAATTCAATTAATTTTATTATAATTTAAAAAAATAGTAACTACTCTTTAAGAACAAAGATAAGAGATTGTTTTCAAAAAAATAAAAAATTCTTCATATCTACAAATAATTTTTTTTATTGAATTATTTGAAAGAAAATATTAAAATTAATTAAATAAAAATACAAATAATACAAAATTAAATTTCACATTATAATATTTCTATATGAGAATTTCAACATCTATTACCAATCCTTAATTGACAAATAATACCCATTTCTTTCTTTTATTTATATTTTCTCTCTAATAAAAAAATCACTTATTTTCGGATCAGAAATATCAGTAAAGTGTTAATATTATCTATTATCTTATTTATGGTTGTGTATAATCATTTTATAAATTAAATTTTCTTCTAAAAGAAAAATATTAGTTTTAGTTGTTTTCTTGTACTTGTAGTACATGTGATGGTTGCAGACATACAAACATACATACACACACAATTTTAATTAAATTAAGAGACTTCTCCAAAAAGAATCGTTTAACCTAGATGATAGAAACTCCCAAGACACAAAACGAGGTGGGTCCATTGATTAATGAGGAATTCGGTGATTAGGGGGTCGTTAACGGGCAGTTTAAGATGCAGTTTAAAGGGAGAGGGTGGGGAGAGCATGGGCTCCGCATACAACCCGCCACCCTAAATAAAGAAACTGGGCCCCACCACTGGTTACCATGTCCGCTGAAGGAGGGGAACCTCATGAGGGAACCACCTTCAAAGCATGGGAAACACGGTCAGAGGGGAGCCATGCATGGTTGCCACGCACGGAATGAACTCCATAGTTCCATGGATAAGTAGACAACAGCGCGTGATTTCAGATCCCTAATCTCTGACAACCCGAGCAAGGTTGCACGCGCGGTCTCCATCTGTATCCCTCGGAGAAAATGACGCCCTGCATGCGATCGATGACGTGGGACTTAAATGTAGCTGAGTTCGTTTTACATCTGTGGTTTCATTCATCCACCCCAGCTTTGGGCCCCGAGTCGATCTCTGTCAGGAGGCTCACTTTAAATGCTCCATACCCCTGCTTCTGTCCATTCTCACATTATCATTTGTGCCTTTTGCCATTATAATTCACTTTCACGTTTTTCTCCCTCAAGCACACTTGGCATTCCGTAGAGTCCTTGCATGCTTTGCTCCGAGGCTCTTTTTAGTGGGAAGATATTTGGGTCTGGACATTTACAAAAGTCGTGCCACTGTTGTGAACACACTGGCCCCAGCAAACAAACTTTAAAGAGATAAGTTGTTTTTTTTATTATTTTAATAAAGTGAAAGATGAGAAAGGGATATTATATTCTGGATTCCGAATAAAGAAATCCAAAGAGGGCCAGTCTTGTCAGGCTGTGACTTAGAGTGTGGGATAAGGGGGAGAGTGGTTCAGCTTTTAAAACTTGGACCTTGCCATGTAGGCTCCACGCTGGCGAACTGTTGGGACCGATAGTTGTCCGTTTATGGGTGAAGGGGAACCGGGGGTTGGAGTGCTGAGGTGGCACGAAGTGTGGTCGGTGGGAGTAGGAGCTTGGAGAGCAATGTCAGGAGCACTTGACCGATTCTGCACGATAATCGTCCCCTTCTCTGACATCGTTCCATGGAATTCGGTTACCTCGGCAGTGGACCGACACCAAGATTGGTTAATCTATGGTTATATGGCCATTTCATACATTATTCCATTTTTTTGTTATAATATATATATATATATATATATATATATATATAATTCATAATCAAACCATTCTATTTCTTTCTAATTTTAATTATTGTTGAAATTTTCATTTGCATGGAGGATAGTAATTGTTTTTTTCTTCTAATATTTGTGTTCATTGAGTTTCATATCCAGAATTTTACTATCTACTACAAATTTAAAATGTTTGTTAAATTTGCATTTTTGAAAATTCTACTTTAATTTGTATACGTTGTCATAATACCAGGTTAGGTAAATATATGATAAAACATGTACACAATGGTAATTTTACCGTACTAAGTTATAGAGTTGCTAAACTCATGAAAATCTATAAAAATCAAATATAGTAATTGATCAGGACAAGATGTAAATTGTGGTACAAAGGTGTTGCCTTTGATCCGTCTTCAGAAAAAATAAAATGAAATGAAAATATAAACATGTGTATGTATATACAGTCCCACTATACATTAGTGTTCTTTAAAATACATTATGGTATGCAACACAGATTTAGTGCAGCTTGCGGTGGCAATAACAAAAAAACGTGATGGCATGTGATGGATGGCAAGTTGTGGTGGCATTAACAACACCCTACATATTTATATCTACATATTTAAGTTTTCAATCTAATAAATTAATTTCTTTACTTAAAAAAATTATCTTCATACAGGTGATCTAAAACCTGTTTTTCATCTTCTTATTTCAAGTAAAAAGGTCTTAAAAATAAATTATATTATTTTTAAAAATAACATATATATATATATATATATGTATTGCCAAAAGGTATGGAAGTAAATTAAATATAAATATATAATAAGAAAAATTATTATCAATTGCCATGTTTTATCTTCTTTTAATAAGAAAAAAAAAATAAAAGTCCTCAAATCTCAATATTGCTTCTCTAGAACTTGTCATTAATGTATTTTTTTTTAAAAACAAGTCCAAGTCAAACCAATCTATTTTAAGTGCTTAATAAATCCTAAACTTCAAAATATCACATTTTGTAAATATTGACCTCCAACCTACAACAAAGTGAAAAAGAAAAAGGTATGACTGCTAATCACAACACTCATAAAGACCCGTTGAATTCAACAAAACAATATAACCCTTTCAATTCATTGACTAGTCCCTTGACAAAGTCACATCCTTTAATCTACGTAAGCTACACTTGAAAGCGATAGTCAGTGATTGGGTTTGGGCAGTAACTATATCCTTTAAATCATAATACCTTAAAAGATAAAGTAACCCAAGTTGTAAAAATCAACGAAGTATTATTCTGTAACATAGTCTCGCCACACACTTGTAACTTTCGTTTTTTTAATAGAAGAAGGCATACCCCATAATGAAAAGATATGAAAAGAAAACACACAAAAAAGAAAAAAAATCGTCAAGAAAAACAACAACACAGGATTTGTTTCCGATGTTTCGAACACTGCAAATCGGTAGCCGAAATGAAGAAACAGACGGAATCCATTTCTCACTGACAATGGGGCTCCGAAGAGGCGCGCCTCGGACGGAGAATCAGTTCGTCTAGACTATCGATGCCGAGTCTTGGCCCAGGTTGTAAAATCGACGGGACTATTAATCCTCACGCCGTACTTGGAATTTCACGCGAGGGATGAAACAAGGTAAATTAGACTCTGATCACCATCGATGTCTTCACCAACGCTCTCCAACCCTAGTTATGCGTGGAGGGGTCATCACTGAATTGGAACGGGTTTTCAATAGAATCTATCGTGCTACTCGAGTTAATGGAAGTTGCTGACTAAATATCTTAATACTTAAAACATCATGCCATTGTATTAATTCAATTGAAACCATGGCTCACACGAGATATTCATGATGATCTGATATCCAAAACACAATTGCGATGGATATCGAATCGTACAGAACTCTGAACACCTATAACCCAATCATGGATTGATGAGTTTCAAACAAGAGCAGCTTACTAACAGAAAAATCTACTGTAGAGCAAGGGCATGTTTGTTCTGATCAAATAATCCACTAAAAAATTACAAGCGCACCGCAATCCAAAAGGTTTACATCGTACCCGCCAAGTAGCTCCACTATCACTAATACAGTACCTATACTAGCAGATTTCAGAATGGTTTACCCTAAAATGCGGCCACTGTAAGAAAGAGGTAGAGCATCCTTCATCCTAAAAAGAGCCTTCTTACCGGACGAACCATGCCAAAACTTCTTTAATGTGGGTGCACTATGCATAAACCTTGTGACAGAATCAACCTCAAAACTCCAATTAAAGCCTGTTAACATATCAGATGAATTGTACCGAAGGGGTGATGGAACGAAAAAAGCAACTAATCAAGGACGCAGAGAGGAATTTCACATTGTACGTTAGTCTTCAAGCGTTTTAGAAACGAAACAAGTACTTAGCCAGGGTCAAGTCTAAGGACAATGTTGTCACTGAATTCTTTAAATCGTAACCGTTTGCTAAAACCTGCGATTTCTAGGGTACGCGATATAGAATTCGAAGGCATAAACCACAACGCAATTCAATGTATTGCAGGTTGGTGCTCACTGGTGCGAAGACGATACGTGCTAAAAGCAATCTCACATCATGTGCAAAATTTATGACATAAGTTTAGGCTGAGAGCGCGGAGCAGCGTACTTCCAAGCATCCTCTTCGATCTTTCGTGCCTCCTTGCGCAGTGTGTTCAGCAAGTCCTCCAGCAAAGCTATATTTCAATCAAGCCCACACCTCGTCAAATTCTCAACATAAATCTGCGACCCGTAAACTCAGACAACTGCGCACACTTCCCTTTATATGAGTCTGATGGGTCTTAAGAACCACTAACAACGTTTTAAAAATTGGGATGAAGCATGCGTTACCATTTTCCTCGGCAAAGCAATGAACATAACCAAATCGATTGATTGGTTGATCGCAAGAACAGTTACCCTAATTCTAACAACCCTTACACACAATCTCTAACATGCCGATACCAAATCTCGGTATGCCAAGTCCCTACGAACACTAACAAAACTATGTTACAAAGAAAAACCCATGCAATCGTCTTCTTTCATTCCAGAAATCACCGGACGCAAGAATAAACCCTAGCGCGTCGGGTTCGTCGGCAGCAATAAGGACGAAAACATGGACAAAACAAGGCAGAGTCGGGTACGAGAAGAATTCCCACCTTGCTCAGTCTCGGCTTTGCGATCCATATCGAACGTGAGGTCGTCGGCCAAGCGATCCAGCAGGCCAGCCATACCTGTGTTGCCACCGGCGCTTGGCGTTCCGGCTGTGGAGGGCGTGGGGGTCACCATTCCTTGCATCGCAAATCGCCACTGGGATCAAAATATATCAGCAAGTCTGGCAAAGATACGAGCTACCAGCGCAGGACTAGGTGATTCAATACTCTCGACCACTAATTTCTAAGTAACGAACGCCCCTGTTTTCCTCAGCGTGGTAAAAAATATGCGAAAGCGGAATGGTGTGGCCCACGCAATCGAACAAAAACCAGTTGGTTGTAAGAAAGTTGAAGTCTAGAAAACATAACAACAGAAAGTTCAAGTTCAGTATCAGTCCTACCGGTTTGAGGAATTGTCTCTGCTCCAGTGATGGACTCACGGAATACATACCTTCAGATATATGAAGAAATGTCGCCTCATATTTGCATTATAGAACAATATCCGTCGTTTCACAAATCGATTGAAGCATTCTGAACGTGATAGGAGTCTGTTTTTTCTACAACGTTGTGAGGTAAGAAACGCTGCATGCTGGGTCATTATAAACCAATTCCGTCATATTCAGGAATTCAAGAACAAACTGTCGATTAATTTTCCCCCAATGACTGTACATGACAAAGAATATTCCACTGTTTCAGTGGCGACCATCAAGATAGCAATGGCTTCATGAGCCACCCCGGTATCTTAGCGTGCCCTTCAATGGGTTTCTGTCCATTTGCGTCAGTGAGGTATGGTCTGGCAGTAATGCTTGCGCATATATCAGAGATTGAAGCCGAGTTTATGATGTCGGTAGAAAGATCATGATCTCCCAGCACTCCTGAGCTTGACTATAACGTCTGGTTTCTTCACATTGTCTAAATCATTCCATTGGAACCCACCAGCGCCACCCAGTGCCCGAATGCCCGCAACTCCTCAGCCATCCTGCACATTCTTCACGATTCCTTCGGGTTAGCGTGTTGAATGCGAAGCAGCATTCTGTGACAGATAATACCTCATCACAAAATCATCACACTGTAGCCAAAACCCAATTTCCAATTTTTTTTTTCTTTTTCCTGCGAGAGATGGGAATCACTTGAGGTAAAATTCCGAAATGCTACAACTACTACTACTACCTGCGGGTGATGTGCTTTGAAATGAGCTTTCAATTGTGCATTGAAATGTTTTTTCGAAGTCGGTCCAATCTTAAAGTGGCTTCACCTCATGTCCACCATTGCCTGGTGATAGGTACACACACATCCCAGCCTGCAACCTGCCGTTGTTGAAGCCTGAATGGGGATGAATCAGGGTCTGGAGACCATGGTCAAGTGCAGGAATTGGTAAAATTTGCAACACAACAATAACAACAAATAGCAACAAACAAAATGTGCATAAACAGAAGCAAAGTGGGGGCTTTTGTTGGATCAACACAGTGTCAGACAGGGAGAGAGAGAGAGGGGGCATCACTGAATATTGCTGAATGAATGTATGATTCTCTCAATACTTTGCTGGGTCAGGCTGCTTTGAAACTGAAAAGGAAGCAATTTTAGAAGCAAAAGGACACTGCTGGCCAGCCAAATTCCTAAGCACATGGCTTTGTTGAATGGATTTTTTTCATTCTGGACTGGTATGTTAGAATGTCGCAGAACAGCTTTGGACTGAAAAGGAAGCAATTTTAGAAGCAAAAGCAACAGTTGTAAAATATATAGACCTCATTGCTAATTTTCTTTTGTAGGCTAATCTTCATAAGTGAGTATTAAGATTCATTTATAGTAGTGTGATTCAATGGACCATTAGAATTTTGATCAATGGGATCATAATTCATGCACTCCTAGCTTTGAAGTCTAAAATTGGTAAGTTTGTTTAGAACACTACATTGCATTAATGTTTGCCCACATAATAGAGTGTGAAGGCGTTAGTAACTTATGTTCTTTCTATTTGTTAATTAGAGGTAGAAGACTCCCTCCATAAGTATACAGAAAAAAAGAAAGAAAAAGAAGAAGAGTTTTTATTCATTTGTTTATTGCAAATGTTGAGTTCATAGGTTTCATTAATTCATCCAAGTAAAAGGATGATTGATATAGTTTAAGAATTAAAAAGTTGTTAATTCTTAAATAATGACACTTGATAAAAAAATAAAAAAATAAGAATTTTCATTATTAATTAAAGTAATAAAATTAATACTTTCTAAGATATTTTGATTAATTTTTATTATTGTATATATGATTAAATATACAACACAAAATGATTGATTAAGAGATCTTATAAATTTTATATTTTATTAAGTTATTTTTATACTTTTAGCAAACTATAGTAGTATAAGTTTCTTTAAATTCTATCAAAATTAACATTCAATAGATGAATGAGATTAAATTATATGATTATGATTATTAAATTTTATTTAATAAGATGATTTTTATATCAAAGTACATCTCTTTTAAAGTATTTCTCACAAATGCTTCAAAAAAAACTTAATAAATATATAGATTTATGTTGCCACTTTGTATCATAATTATCATTATTAATTCAATGATACTTCTAGTTTGATTTTTAATAATACTTTTGGATTGAAAAAATACCACACTATGTAGTGATTATGTATTCTTGAATTTTTTTTATTTATTAAAAGATTACACAGAAGAATTTATCTTATTAGATATTTTAAAGAAATTATCTTTTTAATAAATATTTAATTATATTTCTTTTAAATTTAAAAATATATTTGTTAGAGATGTATGTATATATATATATATATATATATATTAATATTAAAGATGATTTTTTTTACAAAATATGCCATGATGGTATACTGTATAGAAGAGTGTCTATTTCTAATTCTTTGCAATGTAGATGGATTAATATTCACGTGGGAGTATGAATCTTTAAAGATATCATATGTAGCATTAGGCAAACTCTCTAATTAACACTGCCATCTCCATCTCTTTCGCATATCTATATCACCTATCTATTTTCTTCAGTCATTCTTTGTTATTCTTTGTACCAGTTATTCTTTGTACCAGTTCCATGAAAAATATTTCTAATATTTTAATTCTCTACAAACCTCCTTATTATAAGTTCATCCGTATTTTCAGATTTGTTAATAGAGATACCTCTAAATAAATAAATGAAAATATAGAGTCTGTCATTAGTAACAATATTGCAACAACAAATAATGATATCGGTTACAAGCCACTTTGTTTATAAATATTTATCTATTCATTTATATTCATTTTGAGGACTTTATGTCTCCCGTATAAACCTAAACTATTACGATGTGTAGATTCTTCATTTTGCCGACTCTGTTGAGTAAGCATGTCATTGACCTCATCATCCCTTTTTAAGGATGATTTGCTCCCAGTCAATAGACTTCAACTGGAATCAGATTCCACGTTGCTCTTTAACATGTATTGTACATAAATAAGTGAGTGCAGGGTTTTCTCTTTACGCTACGTCGTACACATCTATAATAACAATTCTATACTGCCACTTGGTGATGGACGTGCACAATCCAGCATCTATTAAAGTTTACTTTCTGTACAGTAATAATTCCTTCCAAGTCGTAGTTCTGGTAGTCTTATTCTCAAGGCGCTGGCTATATCCATAGCCAGTCATACAACTGATAGCTTCTGTGGCATCAGTTGACTGTAGCCTCAGAGTCGTAGCGCTGAACTGTTTGCAGAATTTGCTCCGGAGTGAACCCATAACCCGTCACAGTTATGACGTTGTTGGCTTTTTTCTCAATCGTGTTTATATCTGATAAAATCATTCATTGTCCCGATGTCACTTGCCAAGATACCGAAATCACTTGGAGCTTGCTGACATTATGTCTCTGATATCATACCAACATGCTAACAAGCACTGGGGCAATGGAAGAATGGTTTGATCTGCACTTACTGAAGTTTTTTCGGAGCTTCGTCTTGCACTTGTTCAATTTGGAGGTATTCCCCAGCAGGTTCGGAACAGTGATTTCGACCTCTTTCTGCATAGAGATGGATAGATACTAGGCATCATTTCTATCTGAATCAAAACATAACATTCCAATACTTCCGCACAATCTAGACGATACAGCAGTTCGGAGTCATGTCCAACAACTGATTGCTTCCTTTCCAGAACCAGCATGTTAACAAATATGAACAACTACAGCAATCGATCTGGTGAGGATATTCAAACATGCAACTCTTAAAAATCAGCTAGGTTGCACTGAGAAGGATCATTACACTTTCTTCTGTGGAGTCAGGCTGCTGAAATAAATCCTCCGCATTCTGTGCATCGGTGATTTCGTTCAATGGATCCCAGTTCGGATAGCTTCCCTGGTCCATGCACATTGTCGACTAGGATATTAAATTTTTGCAACTCCGCGAGATGAGGTTACGTGCAAGTCTTTCCAGCTCAAAAACATTGAAGTCCTGGCTGCTTTCCTCAAAAGCAACGCAAGGAACTTCCAAATTTAACGATTCCTGTGAGTTAAACGTCATTAACAGTCTTACCGAAGCCATTTTTTCTTGACGATCTTTAAGAAGGTACTTCCGGATTAATGTAACTGGACGGTCCCAGCACTAGGATATCCGAGTGGATAACCAGAGCTCATAAACAATGATCTAGATCTTCAGCTGCATGGGTAACGATCAGATCATTGTGGTCCTCATATCAGAAATGAACGATTAAACACTCTTGTCATTGGAAGGAAAGCGTTAGATGGGTCATTTAGACGGCGTTGTAGCCACCAACAACAAACTTCAGAAGCTGGACACAAAGGACTTTCAACGTTGTATGAAATACACAGCAGCTTTATGCAATATATCAGATGGCCGCATGCAATTACATAAACATGTATCACTTGAATCAGTTAATTCCAACTGCATTCCGTCGCAAACAGCATGTATCCATTCATTCGATGCATGGAACATGAACATGGTTCTGAAGCAGCGGCATCTTACTCAAAATTGCAGCAGCAGTAGCTCCAACCTCCAGAACCAATGCCCGAGCTCGAGATAGCAGTGCGCCACCTGAGTGAACAAATGCTTCATGAATGATGGATCAAGTGTCTGCCTCAGCTTCTCTTAAATGGATTCAGCTCAAAAGCTCAGTCTTCTACGGTGGAAAATTCAAGTCCAATGTAAGAAAGAAGCCTGCCATGCAGTCAGTCTGCAGTACCATTTGACCCAGCAGCTTTCAAACGTGAATTCATTTAATAACTTTTCACTAATGGATATTTCATTGTTCGTTGAAGGTCATTTGGCGTAGATGCGGAATTCTCAGAGTAATACCTCCCTTTCTGTTTTCTGTGTTTGGCTTGTAAGCGAATGAAGATGATGAACCTGGAGAGGACGTCTTCACACACAGCTTTCTGAGCTCTTTGAAAGGCTGTTCAAACCTTTACATTTGCAAAGACCACCTCATGGAAATGATTTAATCCATGCTAAATCCTGTAGGTTTTCCTCCGCTGTTAGATCGACTTACATAAGAAAATTCTGTTTTATTATAAATTGATTTCGACCTGACTGACATATTCCCACTC